ACTGCGTAAAACATATGCTGGATAAGATGGTGGTTTATTCCACTGTGGCGACCCCAGATTAACAAAGCCAAAGAGAAAATGAATGAGTATAGGCAATGATAGACAAGACAATGTTTGATTAATATGAAGTCTTTTAAAATGCTTATTTATTAAAATAAAGGTTACAAAGTAAAGAAGAAATGTATTGTGTGTTTGTATATTTATTTCACTGCCTTCAAGATTTTACATTGTAAACTAAAGGGAACAAGGGGGGAACAAATGTTGTATTTACCCTTTAACTACAGGTAACAAGAGAGGAACAAAGCTTCACTTTAATTTACAACCCTCAAATGTGGTATTTACCCTGTAAGTACAGGTAACAAGGAGGTAACAAGAGAGGAACAAAGCTTCACTTTAATTTACAACCCTCAAATGTGGTATTTACCCTGTAAGTACAGTTAACAAGGAGGTAACAAGAGAGGAACAAAGCTTCACTTTAATTTACAACCCTCAAATGTGGTATTTACCCTGTAAGTACAGGGAACAAGGAGGTAACAAGAGAGGAACAAAGCTTCACTTTAATTTACAACCCTCAAATGTGGTATTTACCCTGTAAGTACAGGGAACAAGGAGGTAACAAGAGAGGAACAAAGCTTCACTTTAATTTACAACCCTCAAATGTGGTATTTACCCTGTAAGTACAGGGAACAAGAAGGGAACAAATACTGTATTTACCCTTTAACTACAGGGAACAAAGAGGGAAGAAGCTGAACTTTAACATACTAGTGTATACTTGAACACTAAGAACAGAGTAAACTACAGCAGCAGTTTTTATTGATTGAAGACCAAATTACTAGATTTTTCTATAAAGCATCAGCTATACATTTACTGAAATGCAACAGTTAGCCCCCCTGTGCAACAGCAGTAAAGATGCGAGCCTGTTTTAATCTACATTGAACCCTGACGGTAGGCCTATGTCATGCAAAGTTATTTGTTGATAGTGAGTTATGGAGACATTGATGGCTTTAGTGAGATCGACGAGTAAACATAAGGTAAGTAGTGTATGGAAATATATTTTATATTGAATTGCAGATTTAAAATACATACAGTATACAATAAGGGTTCATAGTTTCACAGGTTGTAAACCTTTTATTCATTTAACACCCCATATAAAACCCAAGCACTGAATAAGAGAACTAATGTACTCACGCAGGTGCATATACAGTACATTTGCAGATAGCAATAGGTTGTCACCATCCTTGCATAATTCTTTATATGTATACAATACTTGAAGAAATGTACATCGTAAACTTAATATACTTCTTTGCGTGATGGATATCTTATTGTTACTCCCCTTTTACGCAAACATTATGGTTTGTTCTTTTGCAATTTAAAGAAAAGTACAACGTTATTTCACTGTACTTACGCGGTACCTTTTATGCTAAATATCTGGTTGTTATCCCCTTATTACCCGAGCATTACAGTTTGTTCCCTTATACTTACGTAAACGTTATTTATACTTACACTATAGGTACAGAAAAGTACACCGTTATTTCACTGTACTTACGCGGTCATTTTCGTGATGAACATCTGGTTGTTACCCCCTTTTTACCCAAGCATTACGGTTTGTTCCCTCATACCTACACATACGTTCATTATACTTACACAGTACGTACAGAAAAGTACACTGTAATTTCACTGTACTTACGCGGTACTTTGCGGGTTGTAAAAGAAAGCGTTACCGTCAAATCAGTAAAGATTTAGTTTTAAAAAAAGAAATAGTTTATTTAGTATGTTAGTTGTGAATTCATCTGAAGAAAACAAATCATATCAAAAGTTTAACAAGGTGCTTTACATGTTATTATTATTTTGCATTGAGATAAAATGAGATCGAATGATATAAGAAAAAAACAGCAAAATAATAATAATAATTATAATTTAAAGTACAAAAGGTGCATTTTAGATCTTTTGGGCCCCCTAACTAGAATTGTTTAGGGCCCCAAAATCCGGCCATGCATATACATACTTTGCCAAAAAAAAAAAAAAAAAAAAAAGTAAATTAATGAATCAGGACACACGAGTCTGAGTAAAATGTTAATTTTAGAGGAAATTTTCAGATGGCATTTAGAGTTTTTGCGACTGAACTCTTCAACTGCCTGTGTCTGCTGCCAGGTTAATAGTCAATGCATCCATAAACAACTGTCAAGACAGGTGTAGAGTAGAGACACATTCTCGTCCTCCCTTAGGTACACAAATAACTTAATCCACAGTAAAAAGGCAAACACGTGTCAAATAGACCACTGAGTACATATGAATAAAACAATCGTCACTACGAATTAGTTACTTTAAAACTAGCTGAAATCTGGTTACCTCTTGTTGACATGATGCAGAATGAAAAGCTGCGGATTCCCCTGAAGAATTAATAATGATGATGACGGTCAGCAGTGTGACTTTCAATCCAAAATCCAGATCCCCTGTGTTTTCAGATAAACGGAGAGTGCGCAACTCTGTGTGCTCTGACTCTCGGCATCAGCGACCATTCACTACAAAGCGCGACCGAATAACGGGAAGCAGAGGCTCACACAATGGGCGTGTCCTGCTTGACGGACCGATCACTGCACGGTATGTGGCTACAGTTACAGCTCAAGCATTTGGACGAGCCCCTCCTGTTAGACAGAACTACTGTTTTCCTGACTTACAGATTATGATCTATTTTGTTGTTTATATATATATAGGCTATATATATATATATATATATATATATATATATATATATATATATATATATATATATATATTAGCTACTTTTCAGAAACAAGTTATTTTCGACGTCAGTGTGATCTGCTCAGTGCAAAAACGATGTTATATAACAAAATATATTGGATAAAGTCAACAAATTGAGCGTTTTATGTACGAAAGATTAACAAATGAATAATTAAAAACATTATTAATAATAGCATTAAAAATAATAATAATATAGACCACACTTTAATTGTAGGATGCTAAATAATTTCTAAGAGAGCGTATTTAAAAATATATTCAACTTTTATTATTATTATCCTATGTCCTAAACTGCTGTAAGTAGACCTACATACTGTAGCTTAAGTAATAATGGGTAAATATCGCCATCATGTGGCAATTCAATATATGTCTGATTAAATTTGGTTTACTACTGGCTAGTTTTTATAAACAAACTATTGATGAAATTGTCTGGTTGTTTTTATTCTAGATGCGAGTCAAATACGAAAACCTTTTTCAAAAGGAGTAGCCTAGCCTACATTAAATTTAATTAATGGAGAATGAGCTTTCTCTGAGATGAAAATAGTCTAGCCAGCTTTTTAAAATTTAAGTTTACTAACAAACCATTTTAATAAATACAACATAAATGTTAAAATTGAATAAGCAAACATTTCAACATTTCAAACGTTTTATAACAAACGTTATAAAATAAACAAGCATGAGTTTGAATACAATTATCTGATGATTATAGTTATCATTTTACTCTAATTAAATATTATTTACATTCATTTAATTATTTTCTTTTCGGCTTAGTCCCTTTATAAATCAGGGGGTCGTCACAGCGAAATGAACGGCAACTATTCCAGCATATGTTTTACACAGCGGATGTCCTACCAACTGCAACCCATTACTGAGAAACACCCATACACTTATTCACACACATATAGTTTAAGTCAGAACTATTAGCCTCCCTGAATGATTAGGCCCTCTGTTTATTTTTTTCCCCTAATTTCTGTTTAACGGAGAGAAGGTTTTTTTCAACACATTTCTAAACAAAATAGTTATAATAACTCATTTCTAATAACTGATTGATTTTATCTTTGCCATGATGAAAGTAAATTATATTTTATTAGATATTTTTCAAGATACTTCTATACAGCTTATATTAACAACTAAAGGCTTAACTAGGTTAATTAGGTTACCTCAGCAGGTTAGAGTAATTAGCCAAGTTATTGTAAAAAATATATATAGCTTAAAGGGGCTAATAATTTTGACCTTAAAACGTTTTTTAAAAAAAAAAAAACTGTTTTTATTCTAGCCAAAATAAAACAAACAAGACTTTCTCTAGAAAAAAAAAAAAATATATATATATATATATATAAATATATATATATATATATATATATATATATATATATATATATATATATATATATATATATATATATATATATGTATATGTATATGTATATTATCAGACATACTGTGAAATACATTACTGTTTCCTTGCTTTGTTAAACATCATTTGGAAAATATTTAAAAGAAAAAAAAAAATCAAAGGGGGGCTAATACTTCTGACTTCAACTGTACACCAGACAATTTAGCTTACCCTTTCACCTATTGCACGCCTTTGGACTTTGGTGGGGGAAACCAGAGGACCCAGAGGTCAACAAGTTATTTATAATTTCATTTAATAGAGAAATTACATTCAAAATAAACAAACAACACAAAATATTGTAATGAATAGGCTAATAAAATGTATTAAAATATGTACATTAATGAATAATTGAATACAGTTAAAGGTTTTCATCTATATAAATATATATTTTAATGTAACCCTCTTTGTCCCTTGTTCATGATGTGTCTTCTTTATAAATGTTCTTTTTAAAATAGATATATAGGCTATGTGTGAATGTATGTAATATTATATCATCTGATATATGCAATAATAAGCAATTATATACCTTTTATTTTAATAATTATATAATTGTATTATATTATAAGTTTCAAATATTTACACCAAGAAACAGTTTCAAATGCAATATTACTACAGTCTTTAAAAGCTCACATACATTTCAGAGACAAATGTTGGCAGGTATGATCTAGGTTCCATAAGTAAACAAAAAATATTTTTTCCGGGGATATACAAATGTTGTTCAAATGTTATAAAAAATATATATTTTTAATAAAATTGGAAAGGTAAACTCAGAGCACCTTACAGTAGGTACACTCACAAATTTTTTTGGAAAACTACAAATGCATGCGCGTGACGTCATCATTCTGCGACTCAATTGTGCTTCAAGCATGGCTGGTGCGTCAACTGTACAAAACAGCTCATTATCCAAACTGCAGTCTTTGCATGGTATATTTGCCATTCATAAGAAAAAAGGTCCTACATCGGCAGATGTATTGAACATACTCAAGAAGACACTTTTAAAAGGTTGGTATGACTTATGTTATTGCGCGGCTTGGCATCTGCTGCAGTTCATGCGAGTCATTATTACTTAGCGATTAGATAGTCGCAAATAATCATAAGTAAACGTTTTCATGAGTAACAAGTTGATCTTTACACAGAGGCCGGTGTTACAAATTTCAACCCTAGGAAAAGGAAACAACCGTTTAAAATTGGCCATGGCGGAACCCTGGACAGCAATGCTTCTGGTGTACTTGGTAAATATAAACAATCCTCTACCATTGTGTTACAGTATACCAACTAAAATGTGAAGTTTAGCAAAGTCAAAACGACAACTTTTTTTCAGAAATTAATTTTATTGAAAGCTTTTATCTTATTTTACTCAGCCTAGACTAACTAACCAACTTAAATTAGAGAATGAAAACATGATGTAGTTTTACAAAATTTGCCTTGACAGGAAAATAACATGGCTTTAAGAAACAAACTGAATTTAAGATGAAATTTGTGCACTTTACCTGAAGTTCATAAGACTGTCACAACACCTTTATAATTATAACATGACATGAATATGAAGGAGAATTTATGCATGCGTATGGCAGCTGTCAATAGTTCAGTTATTTTAAACGCAAAGATGACATTGTTTGAGATGTCTTTGTGGACCACTGTGGACCTTACAACCTATCGTTGTCATGACAGCTTGACATTGCCAAGACAACATGACCTGTCAGTGTCTTTGTCATCACTTGACATTATCATGACAACATAACTTTTCATAATTCTGTCATAAACATGATTGTCATGAGGCCATAATAATTGTCATAAATAATTTCTGTTCACCTTTTTTAGTGGAACAAAATAACATTGTCATTAAAATGTCTAATCAAAAGTGTCAATACTCAAAATAATGGCAATTTAAATTGACATGCTGACTGTAACGATTTACCTGACTCACTATTCAATAAGATTCATGATACTAATATCACTATTCATGATTTAGTCATGATTTTTTTAACAGGTGAAGGGGTTGCGGCTGGAAGGGCATCCGCTGCGTAAAAACTTGCTGGATAAGTTGGCGGTTCATTCCGCTGTAGCGACCCCAGAGTAATAAAGGGACTAAGCCGACAAGAAAATGAATTAATGAGTGATTATGAGCACTGCTCTGTTTAAGCCTTTGCTATGAATTATTGATCCGGAAAATACGCATCTACGAATCTGTTGCCAACCTTACTGAACTTTATATTTACATCTGTTTCAAGCTATGAATATTTGAAATGACAAATTAACAGAACAAAACAGAGATGTGATCACAAACTGAGCACTTGCAATCAATATACTTCACCCACAGCTGTTTTTCAGTAATTTATAAAGAGCACACAAACATACTGACAGTTATCGGTAACTTACTGTACATTGCTATGGGTCGATTATGCTAATATTTGCCACAAATTCACCAACTTCCCCTTTCTGGCTGTTCTTTCTATGAATGAACTCTGTCCATGCGCATTTCCTCGTGGGTTAGTAACGCTATATTTCATTGCACGTTAGTCTATCAGGCTTTTTGGCTAAAAATAAAGACATCACAGTTTAATTTGTAATTATTAGATTATTTGTAAATTTCACCTCTTCTGCTGTGTGTGAACTAAGCTGTTGAATGGTTAGCGTATGAGGTGGCTAGGCTAAGCTAGCTTCAATTTAGATTGAATTATTCTTTAATCAGTTGCTATTATGTGGTGAATATACCCCTGTAATGCATACTGCAGTCCTTTCTCGGATATCTCACCTGTTCACCAAAAATGACTAATTATATCCCAGGCAATGTCTGACATCGGCGCATACACATTGAAAAAGACGTGCCAGACACAAAAGCTTGACAGACGTAGCAACAGTAACTAAGGAGGGTGGGGCTTAGCGAAGGGTCAATTATCACATATTTGAATCAATTTTCAACTGACTCCCGGTGAATAGTTACATCCCTATTCAGAATATATTTTGTCATGTGTACCAGCCTATAAATATATCTTATTATATCAATCTAGAAGCACAGTGGAGAATTTTTTGTGGTGGCTTTACCATCATTTTAGTGGTGGCTATACCATGCCTTCAGAACAGTGTCACAAAATAACCAATGCACTTCAGCAAAAACCCTTTATTTTGTGGAAATCACAGTGAGCAGTATTCAAGAACAGTTTTGATTGTAGCACAAAGAAAAGTTACAGCTCAAATTTATGAAGGTTCAATCAAAAATGAGTAGGAATGTCTAGGGTCTTGCTTTGAGTTATTGACCACAGGACTTCTCAAGTCACACTGCTTGGCTGTTATCTGGATACTTTTTCATCTAGTCTGTTCCACAGTTCACTGACTGTAATGGGGTTCTTATCCATAACTTTGTCGTCAATGTTTTCCCAGAGATTTTCAGTCAGGTTTAGATCAGGACTCTGGACTGCCATTTCATTATTTCAGTGCTTTCAGCTACTTGAGTAACTATTCTTACTGTATGACTAAGCTCTTTATTATCCATAAAAAATGTTGGCTGACATAAAAATTATTTTTAAAAAGTATTCTTTGTTAATTTTGGAACACAAATTAGGATATTTTAGATGAAATCTGATCATCCATAGACAGCAATGGTACAATTTATTCAATGCTCACAAAGGTTCCAAAAAACAACCTCAAAACAGACCATGCATGGTTCAGTGGCAAATAAATCACTTTATTCTAGAACTGCACAATACTGGGAAAATATCAGCAATTTAACAGAAACAAATTTAAGATCATACTAAGCAGGTAATAGATATGTTTTGAGCTAATAAAAAAACATTTAGACTTTAAAAATTTACAAATGACTGAAAACCTCAGTGGTATTTCTGATCTTTTTTGGCTGTTGTAATTTTTTCTCTTTTCTTCTAGCATTAGTATTTATTTTCAGCTTTAGTTTCACCTAACAGTACTGGAGATGTCAGAATGAAGATAGTAAAGGCCCTATCTGATTGGTCAGATTTGGATAAACAGCCTGTGCATGTAGCATACAAAAAAATTGGAAATTGATTGAACTTGTCTGAGACATTATCATGATAAGGATAATTTTTTAACTTTTGTGCAGCCCTGTTTATTAACCTGTTTCTTTTTCTCATTGTCAGTATAGGGTGCACATTCATATGCACTGTGCACTGATTTATACCTCGGATGCAGGTGCATTTAAAATGAGTTGAAACAACACATTTTTTTGAGACAACTTAATTGTTTTTATGGTTATTCCGCTTAAAAAAGTTAGCCTAATCAATTTGTGTTAGGACAACATGAAGGAATTGTGTAAAACCAGCATTTTTTACAATGTAAAAGGGAGAACTGAAATCATATGGTCTGTTTTGAGGATGTAGAAGGTAGCTCCTGCCAGAACCTAAAGATAATTATAATATTATTTATTAAATTATGCATTACATTGTACTTATTTATGTATATCCCTACCACAACCCTTAACCTACCCCTCACAGTGATATAAGAGTAGAAATTATTGTTGTATAGTGTAACAGATATATGTGCAATGTTTCCTTTCTAGACTTTATCAGGTTAGGGTTATTAAATATCTTAATTTGTGTTATAAATACAAACAAAGGTCTTAGTGCATCATTTTCAGTTTTGGGTAACTAACCCTTTAAACACAGAGATTCCTGTTGCATCGTTGAACTGGTTTTCATTATATTGAGACTCTCTGTATTTTTCTGTTCTCTTGTACATTTGACTTGAATGAGTTAGTGACATTGTAGGGGTGCAATATTCTAGAAATCACATATTTTGTAACAATTAACTTCTCTTGCTCATTCCATTAACCTCCACCTGGATAGCCTGTGTCTGAGGATTTCATTACCTATAAAATGGCTTGCCATCTTACAAAGTTAGTGAAAACTTGAAACTTAAGCTGCCAGTTATATAGTGTTTGTCAGATTAACGTCAATATCTAAGGAAATTACACAAGCCTTATACTTTAATAAGTGTTCTTTTTCAAATACCTCATTTAAGGTTTTCATACTGCACTTCTGAATGTATGAAACTCATGAAATATGCTTTAAAAACGACTTTTTCTGTTTTTAAAACTCCTGTTTGGATAATCTTAAGTAGAACAAAGCAATAGGACTAATACATTTAGGCAATTGTAAATTCTCTTATTTTGATCTCCACTGTAGAAGAGTTTAATAAAATATGCAGTTTAAATGTTTATTTTGTATGTTTTCTAAAGGAAGACATACAAAAGTTTCATGTTATGAAAAATAAAATAGCTCAAAATTGCAAAACTTAACCTAAACAGATATAATTCAAACAATTATCAATTAACTATAATCTCATAAAATCTTAATGTTTTGCAGTGGTTGGAATCGGTGAAGGAACAAAAATGCTCACAACAATGCTTGCAGGTTCAAAGGTAAGTATTTTCAGGGTCACATTAGGTTTATGTTATTCTGCAGTTGTCATTTTCATGATTTATGGTCATTTTCGTAGAAATACACAGCTTTTGGAGAGCTTGGCAAAGCAACTGATACTCTTGACGTCACAGGAAATGTTGTTGAAGAGAAGAGTTACGGTGAGAATTGTAATCTTGTGGCTGCTCTTGTGATGAAGGAATGAATGTCTTGCAGATGTCAATGTCTTAACATTTAGTGCTTGTACCCCCTCCCAGACCACATCACAAAAGAGGCTTTTGAGGAGAAGATGAAGCAGTTTACAGGCGAAATTATGCAGGTTCCACCCCTGTATGTCAATTTATTCTGCTTGATATATAACACTATTTAGAGCTCTTTGAAAGAGTTATGCTTTTTAACGTCACAGACATTCTATTATTTGTATTTCAAGATATTCAGCACTGAAGAAAGATGGCAAGCGTATGTCTGTACTGCTCAAGCAAGGCCAAGAGGTCGAGGCTAAACCTGCTCGTCCAGTCACAGTGTACAATCTGTCTTTAGAAGATTTCAGCCCACCACTTTTCACCATAGGTTAGACTTTTTCTATAAATGATTACTTTGAAAATAACATATTAGATGGTTTTGTGTGTTTACTGTACAGCGATGACAACTGATAAAAAAATTAATTAAAAAAATTAATTCTCAGTTTCTCTAGGTTTACGAGATATAGTTGTATTACTGTAACAGTTTTGTAAAACAAATTTAATTCTATCAGAAAGACCAGGGAGATGAATATGATATTGAATTGCATTTATTTGATGAGCATTGCTTGACAAAAAGTATGAGATTAAAAAAAAACATAGGATTTCTTTGGCCTCCGAAGCTTAAACCAAAAGTTTGTAGATCCAGCTACGGCTGCCGAGGACGAAGGCAGGGGCGGAGCTTACCCCCTCGATAGGGCCAACCTGGTGGTGGTGGGGAAGATGGTGGGTGAACATCCGTATCAGTATCTGCAACCAAATAAATGAATGAAAATAATGGACAGCTTATATATTCCTCGAGTCTCGTGGCTATTGATTGGAACTGATTGTGATAAGTTACCTGACATTAGGTATTCCTTGTGTCTAATGGCTATTCGTTGGAACTGATTGTAATGAGTGATGTGACATTACTTCTTCCTGGTAGAACTAGCACTAAAGCTACATTTCTGTTTTATGAACTACTCATGCTATAATCTTTAAAACTTGCACTTGCAAAATAGAATTGAAAACATAAAAGATATACAGTTTAACAGTTAATCTACCTGGTAAGAGTTTTTTTTTTCACTTTTTAATTTATTTAAATATTTAAAAAAAAACATACATTTATTAATCACACAACTAACAACACAACCTACATACAAACACAGTCCTTTAACATAGTGTACATATTAACAAAGACAAAAAATAAAAACAACATCAGTATGATAAGCAAAACCTGACAGCATCAGCACTATTTTGTTCACTTACAATTACATTTGGCTTTGGAAGTCATTTATGAAAGTACACCACATGGCAGTGAACTTGGACCCGGAACCATTTAAATTAAGTCTTATTTTTGGTAAATGCAACACATCATTGGCCTGTTTTAAAAAAGGGGAAAATTATCGTTTCCAATTGATTAAAATCAGGCATTTTGCCAAAAGAGAAGTAAAGACAATACACTTTCACTTTTAGACAAATTATTATTTTCATATACAATACTAAAGATAGAAGGGATTTGCACAAACATTATAACACAATATTCTGGAGTAAGATAAAAAAGTAGAATTTAACAAAATAAATGTATGTTACTACTCTTAAACAATTGTAATAATAGATTATTTATTAGTATTATTGGCATTAATAAACCAAGCTTTTATTTTGACACCTTGTTATGCCTTTTGTACATTTTTATATATTGTAATATATATTACATTTTAATATATTTCAATATAATGCATGTAATTAATATTTATAATTTAATTTACTGCTCGTATATGTATTTAAATAAAATATAATTTAACTAAGGAATAAAACAATTCTTCAATTTTATTATATATATTTTTATAAATTCTAATATATTTTGTTTAAAAAATTGTCATTCTCAACAGACTATGCATGGTTCTATGCATTTCAATTTAATTGACTATTTCTATTTCACAGATGTTGAGTGTGGAGGCGGGTTCTATGTTCGAAGCCTGATTGATGATCTTGGAAAAGGTAGTTTGAACTGTATGAAGTTGCTGAAAATAGCAGAAATAACAACACTGTGATTAAAAAGACTCATTTGAAGCTGTTATGACATGAAAACTGTCTCTCTGGGTCAGTAGCAGCATGATTGTAGATTTTGGATTGCTATCTTCTATTGTAATAATCCGATTTTCTCCTTTGCAGCTCTGTCATCCTGTGCTCATATCAAGGAACTGACCCGGACCAAGCAGGGTCAGTTCACATTAGAAGAGCACGCATTGAAGGAAGATCGCTGGACATTGACTGACATTTCACAGGCTCTCCAGCCATGCCCAGTACCAGCAGACTCGGAGAAGAATGCCAAAAAAGCTAAATCAAAACATAATACTACCACATCTGAATCTAAGGGTGGAGCTGGAGATCAAAACAGTGATTAAAGGTGATGAAATGGCCCCATTTGATACATATGTCATGCTTCCATTAGAAGAATTGTAGGAAACTGCCTGGTCTGCTCTGATTTGTTTGAGCCTCTGTTACCATCTATGTGCATACATCTTCATGGCCATATATGGTGCTTGAAATTGATTTTTCTTGATTTTTTTTAAGTTGACTGATTTTACTACAGTGCAACGACATTAGGATATCAAAGCCATTGTTATTCTTTCGATTAAATGACCACTTGTAGATGATAACCACCTTATGGTACCAAGAGTAATAAACAATCCTTATTTTTGATGTTTATAAATTGTGTGTTCACTGTAATTTTGGTGACCAACCACCAGTTGGCACTATAATTGATGGACTATGTAAGCCCAAAAGTGTTGCAAATTAGTAAGGTTTTCTTTTGTATATTTTTTGTTACACTTTTTTCATTACAGGTTAATAATAAAAAAAAGTCCTTAAAACACAGTTATTTTGATTTACTATTAAATGCCTATTATTGGAGTCATTTAATTTGTTGGCCCCTTGTCTAGTAAATATTTGCCATTTTGTTAACTCTAAAAAAATTTGAGTTCTGACATTAAAAAAAATGTCAATAGATTAATTAGATTTTTATTTATTCATTTAATGTTTTGAAGCATGCCTGATAAGGTTGCATTTATATTCGATTTGTTTATTGTGTGTTCATTACAAGTGATACATTACACCGTGTGATTTTTTCTAAAGCCAATACAGTATACACTTTATAAAGTCTTGTTGTCGATCCTAGTTATAAGAGCAACAAATAATAACTTGACTTTTAGATGATCGTTTGGAAACGTGGCAGAAGGTAGATTTTTCTGATGAATCGTCTGTTGAACTGCGTCAAATCATCACAGACACTACAGAAGCCCTATTGGAACCCACAACGAACCCAAAATTCTCACAGCAATCAGTTAAGTTTGATCAGTCAAGGAAAAATCATGGTCTGGGGGTTAAATTCAGTATTGGGTCATGCGAGAGATCTGCAGTGGATGGTAACACTAACAGCCTGAGGTATCAAGATATTTATGTAATGTAATGTGTATTAATATAGCATATTTATTGTGTAAGGCCATACACCCAAAGTGCTTCACAATCATGAGGGGGGGTCTCTCCACACCACCACCATTTGTGCTGCCCATAACATTACAAACCACAGGAGACTGCAAATTCTTCAGCAGGATAGCGCTCCTCCTTATACTTTGGCCTCCACATCAAAGTTCCTGATGGCAAAGAAGGTCAAGGTGCTCCAGGATTGGCCAGCCGAGTCACCAGATATGAACATTGTTGAGCATGTCTAATGTAAGCTGAAGGAGGAGGCATTGAAAATGAATCCAAAGAATCCTGATGAACTCTGGCAGTCTTGCAAGAGCGCTTTCCTTGCCATTCAAGATGACTATTAATAAGTGATTTGAGTCATTGCAGAGATGTATAGATGCAGTCATCCAAGCTCATTGTTAAATGACAAGACTTTTGTCTCAGCAAAGTCAGACCTTACTGTCCTAATTAAATAATTAAAAATCAAGGCATGATAATGTTTTATTTTGGTCAAATAATAGTAATCTAGAGGCCTTTGTATTTCATTTAAGCCACTTCTGATACCAAATTATCAGCTAAAAGTCAAGTGATTATTTGCTGTTGGATAGGCGACAAGACTTTTGTCAGGTAGTGTAGTCTCTTACTGAACAGAATCAGGATTTCTTTATCCATGCAGCTTTTATATGCACAATCAGCGTATTCGGATACTAATCCCTCTTAGTCTGGGATTAAGATCACATTCAACACTCTCCCAGACTCTGTCCACTCATACTTTAATGCCATTAGGAACACACACAAAATTACGGCATATTACTGTGTGAAATATAAACCCTCTTCTAATTTTTTTAGGTTTAGGAAGGAGATGCAATACAGATCTCTGCATTACAACAGATAAACTTAGCCTTTTACTTAAATTAAAATTTTCTTTTACTTAGTGTAGCAAGCACTAACCTCCAAAATATACCATATAGTTGAAGGCTTACCATCTGGGAGCACTATGGTGCTTAAGCTTGTTAAAGGATTAATGACTTACTATACCCGAAGTGCAGACCATTCAATCATAAATCACCTGTGTTTTTGCACATGAAAATATATTCTTATACTGCAGGTCACTTGCATTGCATCACTGGACCGGTATGCCTCATGTGTTTTTTGACAGGCCTAGACATGCACGTGCGTTTATTGTTGTTCTCTGTGAGTCTGAATTGCCATTGCCTGAGGCTTTGATTTTTCATTCCTGAAGGTCTGAAGAGAAAGTGTCATATTCCTCAATGAGCCTTGGGAAAAAAGTAGAACTGTGAGATAGGAATGTTAACATACTGGAATAGTGTGTAAATGTGAAGGATGAGATTCTCTGGTTATATTACATCTGTGGAGCTCATATGAATGAATGATGAAGTGTTAATTGTCGTTCTTTTTTTTTTTTTTAAATGTGCTCTTTTAGAATGGATTCTCTTGTATTTTAACCACACACCGCTCTGTTCCCGGAGTCAGCACTATAATGTGGTACATTCTGATGTTGTTCATCTTTTTAGTGTCTGACTGAATGGGGCTGTTGTGATGGGAGTGATCTAAAAAGGGAAGTCTGAGAGGTGTGAGAATCATCACAAAGCCCAGTAATTGTCCGTGTGGGATATCAAATTCCCAACTGAATTGAGTGTTTTATTACATTCTGTATAACCAATGGCAGATTTACTGTGGTGTGAATATATGTTGTGTTTTTATGGTCTAAAAACACCTACCCTAGCCTTTTCTCTCTGTATGATGTTGGATTAAACTGGATATAAGAATGATATAATAAAACGTGCCAGCTAGACAGTGAGTTTTGTTGGGACAACTTTGTTGAAAGCCTTGGAGGAATGTTTGAAATCACTTTGTATTCAAAAAAATTAAGGAGACAGCAGGAAAGAGTAAGGAAGAATGAATAAATGTATTAGTTAGCCTTTTTTTCTAGCATGTTAATACATGGCTAATATGATTTAGCATTTTGTTTATATTTTATTGGGAACATCTTTATTTGTTGTGCATGAAGGTGTCACATTAAAAAGAACCCGAAGACCAGCAGCTTGTAGCTACATCATACTGTACTCTGGTTACTTATGAAGTGCGCAAAGCAAAAAGTGTATCATTTACTCAGACTCTTAACACTTAAGAGAAGAACAAAGTTCATATTTGAGAGGCTTGAGAATGGGATGAGATTTTGTGTCATAAATCATTTATAGTCAGCTTGTAAATTTATTATAAGAATTAAGATGAAGATTAGCAGCATGTTAATCATTTCATGTGTTATTACATAAATAGAGCAATGCTTATTGTCTTAAAGGCACAGTTTACCTAAAAATCTATTTATTTTTTTCTCATTATTTTTCCTTATTTTCATACACATGTTTTTCCAAACGTCAAACTACTGGTCAAAAGTTTGGGGTCTACTTTTATTTTTTATTTTTTTATGTTTTTTATTACTTTTTTAAGAAAATTATTCTGTTTATCAAGGTGGCATTTACTAAATGTAAAAAATGTAAATTGTTAAATATTTATTAAAAATTAAAGGAACTGCTTTCTTATTCTATGGTTTCAAATTAAATTATGACTCCAGTCATTATTGCTTTTTTTTTTTTTTTTTTTTTTACAATTACCATTAATACCAACAATAAATAATAGTAGAGTGATTTCTGAATGATCTTGTGACTCTGAAGACTGGAGTAAAGCTGAAAATGCATCTTTAAAACCACTGGAATTAATTATTAAATTAAATTATAAACTACTTTTGAGCAGTTATTTTTATTGTGCAATAACATTTTACTTATATTATATATTACATATATTACATATATTTCATATATATATATATATATATATATATATATATATATATATATATATATATATATATATATATATATATATATATATATATTTATATATAATCATCATCATCATCCTAATTCAAATATTTTTACATCCCGACAGACTAGGTGCAATTTTTCATTTTGGGTCAACTTTTTAAAATGTCATGGCAATTACATTTTAAATAGTTCTATCAATGTTCACAATCAATTTTATCAACATAGTAACATTTTCTAAAAAAAAAATCGTTTATATGTTACGTTTAAATATTAATTGCAGCTTCTCGTGTATTGCAGTGGATAATCCAGGGAGGCGCACAGAGGCCACTGTCTATTTAATATGTCGTCTTCATTCTAATTCTAAATTTATATCTCATCCTACCTGACTATTAAGGTGAAAATGTTTATTTTTGTGTGAACTTTTCAAAAGATCTTCACAAGTACAAAATGTTAAATCATTATGTTCTATCATTGTTCACAATCAACTTGATCAACATTGGAAATAGTAATTATTCCCCCCTAAAAAACTTTCCAGATATGATACACGTCTAATGCAAATGCTTGTATTGCAACGGATATTACATGGACGCACACAGTGGCCTCTGTCTCTTTAAATTTGCCCCTTTCCCATTGCGCATGCGCGCCCGTCTCCGTGTTGAGTTTGCTCCAACCTGAGGAGCAGCCAAGCCAACGCGAGCTGCTCGTACTATGGGAGCTTAAACGGTGGTCGAGGGGGCCAAATTTCACACACTGACGGGTTTTAAGCGCACCGGGACGAAGAGGATATACACTCACAAAAAGCGTGAACACTTTCGACACAGAGTTTGCCACGCTGAGCCTGAAAAACAACGAAAAAAATATGCGGATAACGGATAGTTCCTCAGGTTTTCCAAATCCCTCATCGCAACGGACAACAGCAGAAACAACATCCATGTTACCGACTGCTGCGGTTGTAAAGGATGCCTTTTGCCCAGAAACCTTCTCTGTTTAGCGCTTTTTCCCCGTGGCATATGAACATTTAGCCACGAAAAGCTCACGGTTTAACGGCTTTAAAGCACACCAGCAGAGTATCTGGACAGCCAGCTGAATGTTTACGCTTTAAAATGGCTGCG